GCGACTTTGTTCCAGTTTTGAATTTTGGCCCACTGTGTATTTGAGTTTGACACCCCTGCCTTTAAAGGAGGTGACCTGAGATGAACAACGGGACATACTACCCTGTATGTTTCTTTATTTCTTACAAAATACACCAAACTGCAGAAGCAGTGTGTGAAACACGCCATGATTCAACGACCTTTAGCAGCAATAACTTGAAGTTTACTGTTTTCCATCTCTCACATCGCTGGGAGTAATTTCGGCCCGCTCTTCTGTACAGTGTTGCTTCAGTTCACTGAGTTTTGCAGGCATTTGTTTAAATGCAGCTCTCTTCAGGTCCCTCTATTGTCAGGATCTGGAGACTCGACTGGAAAATTCCATCAGGCACCTGAGTTCCTTGGTCTCCACCCCTGGGCGGAGCCATCATCCCTGCTGCAGTCCTGCACGCCTGAGACTGATTCAGGGCAATCAGGTTGAGGATTTAAGGCCCCCTCAGACTCTCCTTCACCGCCAGTTCGTCAACAACCTCACGTTGGTGTTGACTCTACGGCTTTTTACACTCTTGCCACTTTTTCCTTGTTAACTTTGGTTTCATGCGCTTCAGATTCCCTGGACCTTCTTTGCTATCACCCTCAACCTCAGCTCTCTGTGGATCATCTTCATATTCAGGAAAAATACAAGGACCCTCACCTGCCTGCCCTCCAGCCTCACTCACCACCTTGGACTCAGCGGGACTCAGGTCTGCCAGCCTCTCCACTCCTCCCCTGGACTATCGCTGCCTCTCCCTCAAAGCGAGGTTCACGCCGGTCACCAACGCAACCTGCTAGACCCCCGTTCACCCCCCACTGTCACACAGTTAAATCATTAGCGACACCCTCCCACATATTCACTTGTTGACTAAATAATAAACACTGCAAAACGTTGAGCCGTCTCTGTTGTGGTTATCTGCAATCGAGTCCGATCTAGCTATCGGCCCGTGGCCATTGTGACGTCTATAGTATTTCAGTCGGGTTGCAGTCTGGACGTTGGGCTGTTGCACCGCCTTGATTTTCTTGTTCAGTCACGCTCTTGTAGGTTTGCTGCTGTTCTTGGCCTCAGTGTCGCGTTTGACGGTACAGTTTGGTTCAAGCTTCTGTTGTTGGACAGATGGACTCACATTTGTAACTCTAGAATATTTGTACTGGTATAAAGGGATCAACAACTGGAGGTGCCTGTGGCTGCAGAACAAGCCCAAACCCAACTCCACAAACGTGCTTGACTGTTAACACGAGGTATCTGTGGTGATGTTCTTTGTGTGGTGCTGAGCGTTGTGGCCAAACATCTTCACTTTGGTGTCATCTGTCCACAGGATGTTTTCCACGTGTGAATGATCTTTCTCACTGTAGAATGATGGACTTCAAATTATTTGAAACTCGACTTATACTCATTGCTGACGTCCTCCTCCCTCGGCTTTGTGTTAACACGCACCTGAAGGCTTCACACCAGCAAACTGCCAAAACTTCTGCTTTTTCACAGATGCTCACACTCGCTGATGATGAGTTAATTGCATTTGATAGGCAGCACCTGTCTGCTACTTAGCCTCGCATGGACGCAGTAACAGTGTACTGGATACACTGATTCTGTTTTATGGCTTCATTTAAATATATGAGGACAATGTGCTGCTTTTCATCTGAGGTTGTTTTTCAAGTGACTTTTTATTCTGTTTTATGTGCATAAAACCTTAATAGAATAGAAAGGGTGTGCTTTCTTATCTTATCTTATCTATATGTCTGTATCTATATCTATCTAACGTCTGTTATAAAGTCAGTACTTGCATATACAAAAGAACACTGATTTCTTATATATTTATTGCACTAAATGAATGTATTATTTATCAGAGCAGTTCTGTTCTCAGTTTCAGTGACACTACAGGAAATGCAGTTTCATCTATTTCCACAAATAAATACATAAATAATCTCCAATCGTCTCTCCCACACTGACGAGCTTAAAATTGATTCTTCAACAAAAGGTTGCTGCTTTGAACTCATACAAAATTCTTGTAAAACCATCAGTGTAATTTGTATCATTGTATCATGTTTACACTAATCTACTTTGTATGATTAATTAAACAGTCACACTTTAAACAATAAACACTGAAGCAGTAGATTTAATACCCACCGACTCAGAGGAGTCAGAGTGCTC